CAGCAGGCAACAAAACAACTGAGCTAAATCCCCGGCCCTAGCAGGTCTTTGAAGTAGGGGCCTGAGGAAAAAAAGGACAGGTAGGTGCAACTTTTTGTGATAAGAGGAGGAAAGTAAATCAGACTGTTAATTAATCAAGCAAGCTAGTGTGGTCCTTGAGATAAGAAAATAAGATACACGGGCACACGGATTGAGACTGGTGCCTGCTAAGATGGCAATGGCAATGGCAGTGACCAAGAACTGACCCTAAACTTCCAAACGCACCACTGCACAGTAACTGAACCCCACTCAGCCCACAGACCCCACCCCTTCTTGAAAAAATTCAGAAATAATTGACGACATTCCTTTGAGACCTTATAAAAGTAAAATTTTTTTCAGGGTCCTCCTTTTTTCAGGGCTCTCTGTCTGTAGAGTAGCCAACTCTGCTGCATCCTTCCCAGGCTGGTCTTAACTAACCTACTCTGCTCATAGGATAGTCTGCTGTACTTCTTTTCGGTAACAAACTTTCAGTTTTGTTTTGTTTTGGTTTTTTGGTACCGGATATTGAACTCGAGATCTCACACTTGTGAGGCAAGCAGCAGAACCACTGAGCTAAATCCCCAGCCCCAAACTTTCACTTTTATTTAATCGTACTAGTCTGTGTATGGTTTCCATCTTACAAGAGGCAATTACTCACTGCCCGATGCCAGTGTCATTGTGAATAAAGAAAAAACAAATAAGTGAATTTTGAGCTCTGTGTCTCAAGTCCCAATTTTTCCCCACTCCTTCTAGTATTTATCTTTCTTTTCTGAACTGGTAGTACATGTGTCTCAGTCACTCTTACTATGACTGGAAAAAAAAAAAGAAAGCAAAGCAACTGTTTATCATTTCCCATTTTGTACCCTTTCCTCTAACCAAATAAGGAAAGCACCAGATCTACAGGAGCAACAGGCCTTTCTGTGAAACGGGAAACAGACAAAAAGAAACCTTATTGTAAAACGTATTTTGGTCCTCCAAGAAGAGAGCAACTGGATTGCTGAGCCAGGTACTGTGTGTTGGGGGAGGTGGGATTTTAAAGGAGTATTTTAGAGTCAAATATTAAACTCTGGGTTTCCATAAAGTGTGTGTCTGTCTGGGAGGCATTCATGTTGAGAAATGTGCTTTTGCATGGCTGGCTGGATTTATCTGCAGGGAAAACTGGATGGATAGTTAATCTGCTCTGGTGGGGTTCACCAGGTCTCTCTGAATTGATGTTTAAAGATACGTGAAGTCCAGAGGGGTACATTTGTGTTGGAAAGTGAAGGAAGAGACTTTGAAAACATTTCCTGGCATTACAGAAAGGAAAGCCACTCTTGTTGCCAATACTGTTCTTAGAATCACACACCAGAGCTTGGAAGAAGTAGGTGGCCTGGTTAGTCTATCAAATCCCTTGAGTTGCTGCTGAGAAACCGGATATTTGGGGAGACATTTGAAGGAGACGACCATTTCTAGGACACCTGTTTATGACACTGTCTTTCCACACATTATCTCAATTGATCTCTGTAACCCTTGTTTAGAGGCAGAAAATGTGGTAGAGAGAAGCTCAGTGACTTGTCCCAGGTCACACAGTTGATTGGCTACAGACACTATAAAACCTGTTCTCCTGTCACTACACTTAACAGCTTAGCACACTTCCATAATACTAATAGTATTAGTGGCAAGGGTTGAGTGGCTTAAACAACAAAAATTTATTTTCTTATAATTCTGGAGGCTGGGAGACCAAGACCAAGGTGGTGGCAGTTGGTTTCTTCTAAAGCCTCTCCCCTTGGCTTGTAGACAGCCACCTCCTAGAAATGCCATCCCCAGGTATCTCCATTTGTGTATCCAAATTTCCTCTTCTTTAAGGACACCAGTTAGATTAATTAGTGCCCATCCAACAGCCTCATTTTAACTTCATTATCTCTCTAAAGGCCTGTCTTCAAATACAGCCTACTTCTGAGACTCTGGAGTTTCAAGCATCAACATATAGATTTGTGTGGGAACATAACTGAGCCCATAACAGTGGTATGTAAAACTGCTATAGTTTAAAGGAGATCTAAGAACATTCTGGTCCAGAGCCTTTCTACAGGAAAGGAAGACAGATAACACCCACTAACCATCTCTGTCCCAAGTACTTTCCTTCACATTTAGTCTTCACAATAGTTCTAGGAGTTGGGTAATACGCATGTCCACATTTCAGTAAAGAGAGCAAGACCCAGGAAGATGAAGTAACATGTCTAGGGGCCCCCATCTAATAAGCTGCAGAGTGAGGATACAAATTCAGGTCTGCAATGCCAAAGCCTACACATTTTCCATTTCTCTGTGCTGCCTCTCTGCTTCTGATTATATATACTCTTTCCTTTATTTCTTTCCCTTTTTTTAAGGGAATAAATCCAGATTATGTGTCCTGAGGAACTTCTCTGTTCTCTGTGGAGCTCATGTAAACATTGGAAAGAAAATAACACATTTTTTTTCCAGGTCGCTGAGGAGGAGCTGAGGAACTGAGCTGTGGGCCGCTGGTATCACCATCCCTGGGCCTCCAAGGAGGAGCTGAGGATCTGACCATCTCCCCCTCGCCCTGGCCTCTAGCAGCTGGGCTGCACAGATACCTGGATCCACACCACAGTGGTGCAGGGGGTCATAAAGGACATTGTTCTGAGCTCCAGAAGATAGAGCAGAAGTGAAAGAGGGCCTCTCTGAGGATCCTTGATGAAAATTGAAGCCCGCTGGAAAAGTGAAGAAACTCTCTGCAATAAAGGCACACCAAACCACCATAGTTGGTAAGTTGGAGGGATCACCACCTCCCATCAGAACCTGGACAGTCTTGAGGGGAAGAGCAACTGGAACCTGCAGTAGAACCTTGCACAGTTCAACCCAGCAGGAAGTCAGGGAGCTCAACTTGGGCTTTGCAGCCAGAAATCAGCCCTAATCTCAGGGGACTGCTGCTGGCTTGCTGAGACTAATTGACTTAGATTTGCACACTGCTACCCATGTTGTCTGTTGTGACAGCAGAGACATACCCTGAAGGAGGCCCTTCATTTTTATTATTTTCAAAGTTATTTTTTTCTCTTATTTTTAATTTTTATTTTTCTTCTCTTTTCAAATTAATTTTTTCTTTTTTCTTTTCTTTCTCTCTCACTTGCTCTCTCTCTCTCTACAACCTTATTCTTTATCTCTCTCCCTTTTTGTTCCTGTTCCTGTCCTAATTCTGATTTCTTTTTTCTTTGTTTTTCTTTTCTTCTCTCTTTTTCCTTCTCTCAGTTGTCATTAGTTTTAAAGGAAAGTGAATACAGTTTTTAGCTCCCCTATTGCTGTTAGGTTGTTCTGTTCTTGTCTGTGTTCTTTCATTCTATCTTTCCCTCTTGTCTTCAACAGTTTGCTAGAGTTTGCGTGATCTTCCTGTGTCCTCTGGCCTCACTTGTAACTTTTCCCTATCCTTCTACCTATCTATCCCTCCCTACCCAACTCCTTCTAAGTCCCCATCCTGAAGGGTAAAGTTGCTATCTTGAAGAGTTTATTCACTATAAACATATTTTGGACTGGTCCTCAATTTTGATTTAATTCACACACTAAAAGTTGATAGATTAATAACTACCACAAACTGTCATTTTCTAAGCTGTGCTTGATGCTATTGTTGTTGCTGATTGTATCACTTGGGCTAAGGTGTGATTGATCTAATCAGTTGTCCTTCCTGGTATACTGAAAATGAGATTGCCTAAGAGTCAATAGAGACTCAAAACCTAAAGACCAGCTATATATGGAAGACACCTCTGAGAAGCAAACATTCCATAAAGGTTCTAAATAGAAGTAACAAAGATACTTACAATAAGCAATATTGAAGTATCAACCCAGGAATTAAAACAAAAACAGTACCAACAACATAAATAGAAATGAGAAGACACCTAAGCAAAACACAAACCCAGACTTCCAGCTCAGAAAGGCACAATCTGGGGGAAATGAGGTGGAAAAGTCTGGTAATCAACCACTTTGATGTCCTGAACTGATAGCACAGGAAGTAACAAAATAAATGAATGAGGCTCTAGAAAAATTCAAAACAGAAATAATTTCTCAGATAACTACAGAGATGGTGAGCAGAATGAAGGACATGATTAGAGACTCGAGGACAGAAACAGATAAAATAGTTGAGCTCAGGACCATGATGGAAGGCATGAATGCCCAGCATAGGAAGGAAATGGAATCCATGAAACAGATTCAAACAGATATCCAGGAGATTAAAAGCTCTGTTGAAAGTACTCTATATCTGATAATCTGTCTTCACATTTGCTCATCTGAGCAAATGTGAAGACAGATTATCAGATATAGAAGACAGGATGGCAGTCAGTGACCATGAAAAGAGAGATCTTTTAAAAATAGGGACAGGGCCAGGGATTTAGCTCAGTGCCACTGCAGCTACCTCACAAGCACAAGTTCCTGAGTTCAATCCCTGGTACCAAATAAAAAAAAAACAAAAACAACAAAAGAAATAGTAAGGGACCATGAGAAATCAATCCAACAGCTCCTAGATGTCACAAAGGAATAATATAAGACTAATAGGAGTTCATGAAAAATCAGGAGAAAGAGCAAATGACATAAAAAAAAAAACTGTTCACAGAATTAATGTTGGAAAACTTCCCAGAGTGAAAGAACTGACATACAGATAAGTGAGGCATATAGGACTCCAACTAGCCATGATAAAAAAAATCTACACCTAGACATATAGTAATCAAGATCCCAGAAAACGAATAGAAGAAGAAAATACAATAAGCTGTTAGAGAAAAGAAACAAATCACATACAAAGGAAAGCCCATCAGAATCACAGCAGACTTTTCAACACAAACCCTCAAGTCAAAGAGAGGCTGGAGTGAGGTATTTCAAGCCCTAAAAGAAAACAACCTCCAACCTAGACTGTTGCATCCTGCAAAACTATCTTTCAAAATTAATGGGGAGGGCCGGGGATTTAGCTCAGTGGTTCCGCCACCTGCCTCGAAAGCAGAAGGTCCCGAGTTTGATCCCCGGTACAAAAAAAAAAAAAAAAAAAAAAATGATGAGGAAATAACATACTTCCATGACAAAGAACACCTGGGAAACTTAATGAATACCAAACCAGCATTCCAAACAATTCTAAACAATATCCTAGAAAAATACAATGAAAGTCACAACTCCATGGGGCCCAACAGAACAAATCCATTAGGCAAGGCAAGAAATTAAAGGGAGAGGGGAAAAAAAATAAAATAAAAGAGCCAACAACAGGAAAATAACAAGACAAGGATAAGTCAATACATATCAGTTATAACCATCAATGTTAATGGCCTCAATTCACCAATCAAAAGAAATACACTGGCAAAATGGATTAAGAAGCAAAATCCAACAATAGGCTGTATACGAAAAATGCACCTAGGGGCCAGGGATTTAGCTCAGTGGTTTCGCCGCCTGCTGTGCAAGCGCAAGGACCAGAGTTTGATCCCCGGTACCAAAAAAACCAAAACAACACAAAAAAAATGCACCTAGTTCAAAAAGAAATTCATAGACTGAAAGTAAAAGGATGTAAAACAGTTCTCCATGCAACAGGAACCCAGAAAAAAGCAGGGTTAGCTATCTCTCTTTTTTTTCTTTTGGTACCAGGGATCAAACTAAGGACCTTGCCCTTGCAAGACAGGTGGCAGCACTACTGAGCTAAATCCCTGGCCCTAGGGGTAACTATCTTATTTACAGACAAAGTAGATTTCAAACCAAAACTAATTAAAAGAGACAAAGAAGGGCACTACATCCTTGGAAAGGAAACAATCCAAGAGGAAGAGGTGACAATCATAAATATAAATGCACCAAATACGAATGCCTCCAACTGTACAAAACAAATATTAATGGACATGAAAAACCAAATAAGCACTAATACAACTGTAGAGGGGGACCTCGATACCTCACTATCACAAACAGACAGATGATCTAGACAAAAAATCAACAATGAAATACTAGAACTAAACGAAGCTTTTCTTTTTCCATTAAGTTTCTTGGTACATTTTAGGTATACAATACAGTTATATTCATCATTGGGATCTTGTACCTTTACATGATGTATCTTGGTTCTTATTTTTTCCCCATTCCCCTGCCCTCCCTTCACCCCCTCTA